TGACATCAGGGCGGAAAGAAAAAACACAAACCTTGCAAGGGTTGGCACCACCACGTAAGGCGCCCAGAAAAATCAACGTTCCTGCACGCAGTTCCAGAGCAACAGCTCATTTCTCCACTAGCTACAACTGATCGTGCAGTGAAGAGTTACTCCTACAGAAGTGATTACACTAATGCTCTGTTACAAGCTCCCAGCTGCTCACTGAATGCTTTATATGTGTTCTCAAACAAGACTTCGCGTTCACAGCCCAACAGGGCAATAGAGGGCCCCTCGCTTGTCCCTATATGTAGCTTGTTGCTACTTATTTTGACTTCAGAAAGTACAGAAAAGAGCTATCCGTTCCCTGCTCTGGTCCCCTGTGCAGGCTTTCCTGAGGATTCCCATTACTCAATCCACTAATTCCTCAGCCCTTAAGTACATGGCAAAGGGGCATGGAAAAGGAGCCAATTGCTATGGTGAGCAGAATCAGAAGCAGGCATACGAAGGAACCCTTCTATTGAAGAAGCCAGCAAAAAAGGAGGGAAAGAGCACTGCCTGCTTTAAGTTAGTCTGGGTTCCAACTCACTCCCTTTCATCTGAATTTAGTTACTCCTTTGAGCCCTCAGAGCCCTCCAGCAGCTGGGCAGCATAGCTCAGTATTTCAGAAAATGGATGAGGACACCAGGACTGGTCAGACAGCGCAGAGCAAACCCTTGATTTCAAAACCTCCATGCTCACCAAGGCAGAGACTGGAGCAGAAATTCAACCTCCTATGGAAGTATCCAATTAACATTACATGGGACCCAAATTCTTGTTGAACAAGTGAATTGAGATCCAAAAACTCAATGGCATGTCTGGTTACCTAGCCATAATGCGATAACTTCTGAATCCGGTACATGATCAACTCCTGAGTACCAGGGAATGTTCTAGGCATCAATGGAAAGGAGCCTGTTGAGTTTGGTGACAGATTTTCATAGCTCCCATTTGATGCGGCAGTCATAGGAGCACTGGGAGAAAAGAATATGGCCAGTCACCACTCACTCCCTCAAGTTTGTTTGCATACTTCACTCCCATTTGTTGAAATGAGTCAGCAAATGAAACTGCAGGTCAGGACTGTGGGCTTCGGCAGCCGTGGGGGGCCGGGGTACAGGACTGGAATAGCGAGGCCTGCTTCAGATTAGGATCTACGTTGGCTGAGTAGAATAAGGCTGGAAATTTGCATGACGTCTCCCTTCATACTATGACTGACTTAAGCAAGATCATTTACCTTTCCCAGCACTAACATTAACACAGTTGCATATGAAAGAGAAATGAGAACCAAGTGCGGTGTTGGCTTTCACTCCTTTCGAAGTGTATGGAGATGTCTGACAGACAAAGGTAGAGTTAGGAAGGGGAAGCGCTTATATGACAACTTCTTACAAACAGAGAAAAGCCATTTCAAAAACTCCTCATTTTAATGAGCTTGGGGAAAATGCCTTCACTTCCCATCTATTAATTGAGTAAGAGCAGCAGCTGAAGACGTTTGAAAATGCAAAAGCAAATTAGAATGAATAAGTAAAGTTTCAAATGAATTTTAAGGCAAAAACTTGTAAGCACAGATTAAAGCTAGAGGTTGAATTTAAACAAAGGTTCACACAGTACACTGAACATCACATTTTCACAGCAGACATCACTCCACAGCTTTAGTGGGATTTTTCCAGGACCCTGTGACTTACACGGGGTTTTAAATAGAACATGGTGCTGTGTTTGCTGCAGCATCTGTTGCTTTATGCCACTTAACCCTCACAGCTGCTAATTATACCTTGATTTCTGGGGATGATATCCCAGTTATATTTTTGTTTAGAAGAAGAGCAGGAAACTGGATACATTTGCCTGTACAACCCTTTTGAAATTGCAGGTGCTCAAAACTGAAGGCTTTCATTTCACACGTTCTGGAATCAGACCGTGTGCATCTTCCACAATGTGCTATCAGCAACACCATTCTGCTTGGAATGGTTATTTACTCCTGTAACACTTCCATATTCTCTGATTACTCTCGTGACAAGATCCAGAATGAGCAATGAATTGGGCCTGATTACATCTGCATACTGGAGAAAGTAGAGCCATCAAGTTGGTTTTGCTTACTAGCAGGTTGGACTTAAATTTGTAAACTCAAAAGTAAGGGTGTTGCTTTCTCCCGCAATTCATCCAAACAGTTTTATTCTCTCTTCCTTTACGTTAAGACAGATTTGATTTGCTCTTATGTGATCAGTATTTAAGGGCACACCTCTCAATTTAAAAACTAAACTCTGCTCTCATTTATTTCCCTGTCAGCTATCAAATTCTCTTCTACATGGGAGAAACCAAAAGTTTAATTATTCACTATTCACATCAATTGAATGTGGAGGTATGTCTGGCTGCATGTTTCTGCCATATTCTAGAGCTAGATGTTAGTCACCTCACCTTTGAGTTCCATCTATACAGATGGCGTACACATTTTAGATTACAGCATTGGCCGTACTATGTCTGGTTAAGACGTGACTGTGCAGAGCTTTTGTTAGCCAAAGGCACCAGACTGTTTCCCCCCCTCAGTGTATACTTCCTTTGCCAGAACCCTTATAAATTAATATGCTATAGTTTATATGCAGAGATTTCCAATGGACAGGCATTGCTGATGACACTGCGAGCGGATCTACCCATTATAAAAAGTTTTTAAACTCTGTTTAAGAGCTGTACAACAGATACTGCCGAGGGATTTGGAAGATGACACATGGCAGGGAGATTGCCCTGTGAGAGTTGTTGTGAAAGTAATTTTGACTTGGCTAAGTTATGACACACAGAACCCTATTACATAGCCAGCCCTGGTGACCCATTAAAATGGGGGCATGACCCACTTTTGGGGTCCTGACCCACAGTTTGAGAACCACTGCTCTAACCTCAATATACATAACTAAAGCTACTCTCTGGATGCCTGATTAACTAAAGAGCATATTAAAATGTAGTAGGAAGGTCAACAATAAGTGAGGCTAAGGGCTTCTCCATTTCTTCAATGTGGCTATGCCCCAAATCTTTAGGGCTGGTTCCAGTGGCTGCAACAGGAGGAAGACACCTGGTTCCCCACACTGGAGTGAGGTAATGAAGACATTTGCATAACATGACACATTAGCAAACAAAGAAGCTAACTGAATATCCCCATGCACTTTAAGACTTTACAAGGAGCAACGCTGCACTCCTTCCATGTAAATAAAGGGGCATGACCATTTAATGGCTCTGCAAAGAAAGCATTTATTGAATTACTGCTTCACTAGAGTGTCTGATTTATTTAGTTTCAGATTCCTTTGTAGGTAAATGAGAAAATTGCACCATTCCATTATCTTGAGACCATTACTCTGTTTATCCAGTCTCAATACTCCCGCACGGCATGCGCTGTTCTCTACTGTAGTAGATGACTGTGCTTGGTGTTATTAGGCACAGCTTATGAATCAATTGTATGTATCACACTAAACAAGGAAATGGTGCATTGTGAAGCTGCTGCTAAACAGATCCCAATTACCAGTTGAAAAGGGAGCATATGTCAGTAGAGGCTTTTTGCATAAATTGACAAAGATGTTGCAATTATAGAAAGTTGAAGTAATTTAGCATCTAAATATTCCTTTCTAGTCTGAATGTGAGTTAACAGGCACTTGAATGTTATTGATCCTTCCAGAATACCAACAGGAGTGGCTCATGCAGATATCAAACTCCGAACTAGTGAATAAGTTTCACACATTGGTACATTAAAGTTGCACTCATTTTTGCATGCAAATCACGTTATAAAACTACTGTTTGAAGTGAGCCGAAATCCAGAAACCAAGACGCACGAGGGTAAGGAGAAAGTGTCATGCAACAGCATCCAAAGCAACAGGGTCACCATTTAGGTGATTTTATTGCAGTTAAAGTCACTAAAACTGAAGTACTAGGAAAATCAGAGCTGGAAAACCAGTTCCTTCAATACAAGGGAAATACTTTACAGTACAGGCGTTAACAAATCCAGTTCCTATAGAAGTACATACCACACACATATATTTAATGATGTAGCAAATCTGTGCATATGCGTTTAGAATTGATGCAGCACCGTGGGTACGCAATATACTCTCCTTGGGCAGCACTTGCAGAGCTGGTATCACACATGGTTACAAGCCTCACTACCAAAGTAGATGGGAATTTAGACACTTCTCTCTGAAAAGTGCTCCTAGTATCTCAAACAATTCTCAGCACAACCTAATCTAGTCTGGCCTCACTGACTCACTTTGTATCTTCACACAGTGCCTAACATAAGTGCCTGGGCCACAACAGGGGCTCCTAGGTGCTACCACCCTACAAATAAAAAAAATATGATATTTTCCCACTTCTGTTCTTCTGTAAGAGCCCCCAAGGGCCTGTTTACACAGCCCACGGCAACGAGCCTCCCAGCCTGGGTCGACTGACTCAGGTTGGCAGGGCTCGCACTAGCGGTCTAAAAATAGCTGTGCAGACCGCACTTTGAAGCGGTGGCTGGGGCCGCAGCTCAGGCTCAGAAGCCTAGGGACAGGGCTAGCTTCAGAGCTCAAGCTGCAGCCCACAGCTTCAAAGCCCCATTTACAACAGTTTCTTAGAGCGCTAATGCAAGCCTGCCAACCCAAGGTTGCTGACCCAGGCTGGGAGCTCACTGCCACGGGCTGTGTAAACGGAACCCAAGTCAGAGTGTGATTACATTCAAGGCTCTTAATACCCAGCATAAATTTATTTCGGAGTGGTAGCCGTGCTGGTCTGCATCAGCAGAAAGAACGAGGAGTACTTGTGGCACCTTAGAGGTGAACGGAGATGCATCTGATGAAGTGGGCTTTAGCCCACGAAAGCTTATGCCGAAATAAATTTGTTAGTCTCTAAGGTGCCACAACTACTCCTCGCTCTCTCTTTAAATTTATTGTATTTTAGTTCTTGCTAAACAACGGCTGGGTGGTTGAGTTCTAAAGTTACACATCACACTCCGATGCAACAGTGGTAAAACCAGAGCCACTCACCTCCATGTACAAATCCATGTAGAGTGCAGTCTGAGGGGCCCACCAGATGGATCAGGCTGGACTGGCTATAGCCCACAGTGTACGGTTCTACGGAAAGAAAAAACAGAGGTCAGACCTACTATATATAAAGGATTCAGACTCTAATCATCAGAATTCCCACTGACCTACAAGAATGCCATTAAGAGCCTGAACCAGACTTTTTAGCTCACCTTGTACGGGACAAAAATCTTTGTGCTACCTTATTAAAAACTGCGATGTACATTTAAAGTCAGCAAGTCTTTGAAAAGAGGAAATGGCACGTGACACACACAGGTTCACTGTGGTCAAATGAAACCTCTTTCTTTAAGCTACAAATTTGGCTTTATTTTTAGTCTAGATCTTCAGAATAAGCTAACATTTGAAAATCAGTAGTTTTAAAGTTACTCCTATTTCCGTTTGGCAATTGCATCCTGAGCGGAGCCACCTTAACCAAAGCAGCCCTGAATCGAGCCCATTCTTGCCTGCCTGCGGCCTCACAGGATACTCCTGCTCTCAGCCCAACCTCTACTGCCCTTGCTGTTCCACCAAACTGCTTCTTGAAAGGTCTTCCAGTTCAAAAGGGACCAAAGACCTGCAAAATGGCTTCCGCAGCCAAGCCCAATGTAGAAGGGATTAACTTCAACATTTCTAAACCTCAGTTTGGTGGGAGAGAACAAGAGATTGGGGGGGGGGGTGCCGCTGATTTCAGCGTGCGCGCGTTTGTTTCAGTGCCATAGATCATAGAAAGGATTCTGAAAATGTGCTGGGAAACCAATATGTTAAAGAACTCCGCTCGCAGCCCAGCATTAACACTTCCTAGTCTTGTACCCACTTGTCACTGCAGCTGCAACTGGTATCTGAACTGATCACTGGTGCGCCATACGCAGCTGCACTCAAGTGTCTAAGTGAAAGCTTTTGCCCATATACGCTGGTTAAAAAAATGGCTTTTCAAAGCCTATGTTCAGTGAGAAGTTTGTATGAACTTTGGCTTATACTGAGAAAAAAGTAAATCTGGTAGACAATTGCCTGCCATTATGGCCTTCAAAGGGAAGCTCGATAATTCGAGTAACAGAAGAACAAATAGAAAAGGAGGACTTGTGGCACCTTAGAGACTAACCAATTTATTTGAGCATGAGCTTTCGTGAGCTACAGCTCACTTCATCGGATGCATAGCTCAGGAAAGCTCATGCTCAAATAAATCGGTGAGTCTCTAAGGTGCCACAAGTCCTCCTGTTCTTTTTGCGAATACAGACTAACACGGCTGCTCCTCTGAAAGAAGAACAAATAGTATTTAAAAATCTCCCCTTAATGTGTATTTGCCAGCTACAGCCACACGACACAGCGTCAATTAACTGAAATAGCCTTACCTTTAGTCTGTCTATCTGTGAGGCAAGGAGAGCAAAGAAAAAGGGTATATAAGCAGCTTTCATTATCTAGGTACCCTCTTTTAGCAAACAGATATGGACGTCAGCCCCCCCCCCCCCCAACGTGAGCTAGAACTGCAGGTCTGCAGAGACAGTTGCACTGTGACGTTGCAGAATTCTATCTTCATGGGCTCGAACAGCAAAGGAATTCAGTGTTGGTAACAGACACTTTATTGGGAGCCCCAACCAATGACGTCTATCCACAGAACAGTTACTGCACAGCAGACAGGCAGGCTTCTCCATGCCAGCCCAATGTGGAGGAAATGCCCATGAGTAGGAAGACAAGTCAGCCGTCCGCCTTCATGCCCATTCAGTTCTACATCTGTTTCAACTCAGGATTGTCAGTGTCTATTGTGACGGTGACGTCTAATGTAGACACTTATCCAATTTCACACAGGCAGCCAAATGATAGTTAATGGCTTTCCATCGCTGCCAATGTGGGCCAGATTTGAACCGGGGGCTAAAAAGCCTATTTCACTGTGAATCCCCTAATCTACCCAGCTCTTCACCTTAGACACTTTTTGGAACAGGTGTTGATACCAGTGTTTGAGCATGTCGCTGCCCAACTTGCATTTCCCGCTGCTGCCATTTGGGACAGGAGCTGCGGGGAGGGGGAGTACAAAGCCTGGGCAGGCCAGTTCCCCCATCACCTCCGAGCACAGGCAGATATCATTAGGAGTATTCAGGCTTTCATGCAGCCAGCTGCGGTGCCAACGTTCACACTTTTTAAAAAGTTACGTTTTCCTGATCTTTATTGAGGAAAGCTTGTCACTGCTGTAAAAATTAAGCCATTTCATCTTCACCTGGATATAGACATGTGGCGTAGCAAGCGAAACGGTTTATAAAACCTTTCGGGCTCCGGAACGAGACCAAAGGAACGCAGTTGCCCCTTGTGACTTGTTGCTAGGCAACTACTGTCCAAATGCCTGAAACCTTGTACTGTTCTCAAATTTTAAAGGTAGTTAAAAAATTAACAAGCTGAAGAGAAAGAGCCTCTATTCAAAATGGCAAAAATAGTCTGCATGCGATCTCTTTCATAACTCCACCTCAGAAAGGGACTTACAAGTTTACTTGGTCACATGCTCTAGCAGCTTCTCAAATTAGATTTCAAATCTCACAGCGTTATGTTCGAGTACAGACTCTCAGCCAGAGCCCTTGAACAAAGCCAGAATTGTCTTTTCCAATCCACAGATGCACACTCTTGGATTGCACATGCTAGGCTACGTGAGGGCTATAAATAGTCGAGTGCAGCAGCTCAGCTCCTCAGTGCTCTGAACTTCCAGCGTCAAACCCAACAGCTCCCTGAAGACAAGCAAGGCAGACGGAGGGGCGGTCTCTGAAGGGGCAAACTCAGGAGGCCTCAGGCTACAGGTAAGTAACCTAGTTTAGTCTATTCGTTTTCCCACCTGGAGACTAGTGGTCTGGGAGACTGGAAACCACTGCCCTTTTACAGTGATGGGCAGACACACTCCTACCCAAGTGCATGGAGAGTTCTGGGTTTCTGATTACAAAAAAGGCATGAGTCCATGGAAAGTTTCCTGTTGGCAATAACGGAGGCAAGAATGCCAAGAGGATAATGGCTTCCTTAAAGTGAGCTCTCTCACCTGGGAAGCAGCACTTTGCAGGAGCGAGGAAACAAGCAGCTCTTATAAATCACTCACTAAGGACACAGCGGGGCAGAGCCTTTTAGAATGGCATGACAAGTCACCTGGGCAGCAAGAAATCAGACATGGAACCCAAAGCCGGCTGGCAAGTCAGAATTTCTAAGCCAAAGGGACAGCCAGTATGATCATGTCCCTCATGGAATGCCAGAAGAATTCCAGATGCTCTTTGACGATCTCCAGACACACCTTGACAACTCCAGCCAAGAGTATTTGATCTCATAGCTACACACTGGATCTCCAACACTGGTTAGCCAAGTCCAGGAGTTATGTTAAGTGGCATACAATGGATTTCTTCAGCAAGTACACGCAGAAGGAAACCTGATTCTCCAGCAACAGATGAGTAAGATGCATAAGTGAGGGAGGCCATTCAACCATGCTATGGGAATGCCCAACACACAGATTCAGACAGAAATGAAAGTTTTTCTACTGAAACCAAACTCTAGGTATTGCAATTCTCACGATTTTATGACTAGCAATTGTGGGGCATTTACCACCTGTCTTATGAAAACATGACGACAGACCCAACTCACGAATTTTCCAACTCACCAATACTAAAGGCGGTCACCATCTCCCATTAACAGGACTGGGGTTGAAGCCAGCAGGATGGCTGGCTGCCACCGCCCACTGATTTCAGTGACATTGAAGCCCTGGCCACAGGCAAAATGGCTGCCACTGCACAGTTCAGGCAGCGAACAGGACAGTCCGAGGAGCAGCAGACACAGTGAAAGATGAATGAGGCGCAGGGGACATGATGGGTAGTGGGGGAAGCTGAAGAGGGTGCAGAGAACAGTGATGGGATGGCAGCTCCCCCATCTTGGGGGTAGTGGTGGGGAAGGGGACTCCTCTCCAAACAGGCAGGAGAAGAGGCAGTGTTTCCAACTCTCAGGAACCGATTGCAAATCATGGGATTTTGGCACCTGCAGGAGACACCGTTACGGTGATGCAAGAAGCTCCTCAGATCCCACAATTTTCAGGGATGGGCATAGGAGCAGAACTCTGAATGACAGCCTTGTGGTGGAGCGGATAGATCTGCCCTGCCGGCATGCATGGCACTAGATCAGAGAGGGCCCTGGGGCAGCAGGAGGCAGGGGACTCAGGGCAGTGGTGCCCCTGGGAGACAGGCAGAGAAGACACTGGGCAGCAGGAGGTAGAGAAATGTTGTTGCGAGGTGAAGACAGGAATGTGAGAAGTCAGCTTCTCCTATCTTGGGGCCAGGAGGGGGTAAGGGAAGTCTTCATCTGAGCAGCCAGAGAGAGGTATGTATTTTTGTGCACATTAAAAGGTTGACTTTTCAACCTGAAATTCTCTCTCACACATCGGCAGAGGAATAGAGGAGAGTTAGAAGTCAAGATGATTTAAAAAAAACACGTTTTTTAGTCTGATTTTTTGGGGCCAATCATGACTGATAGCCTGAGTCATGAGCTTTGATCTCTTGAGGTTGGCAATACCTTATCTTGACAATATCCAGGGAAAGATCAGCACATCCTGGTCTGAACAGCCTTTAAAAAGCAGGAGGAATGAGCAGGGAATCATCCTTAAAAGGTCAGGGTATGCAAGGAATAGAACTAGTAATCTCGAAGGTCAGGTACTGATGGGAATGTCTGGGGCCCGGGCTGTAAGAGGCCAGTCTGTCAGGCATAGCTACAAGTACATCTGAGTGGAATGGGCAGCCACAAGGCATGTGATTAACACATCAGGGTGGGAGCTGAACATGGTCTCTTACAACGCCAGTCTTGCAGAAACAGGAAGAGAATGAACTGCAGGGCTGCCCTTCTTGTAGCCTAGAACAGCAGCCTGTCTATTTGCAGGCATTCCCAGAGCACACATCACCTGCGGGGAATCACAAGGTAACAAGAAGGAATATGGAGCAGTGGTAAGTCCAGGGAAAGTGTTCTACAACTCCTGGGTTTATGGACTGGGAAGACAGGTCCCACCTGCAGTTTGAGCAGGATCTTACATGGAAAAAAAAAAATCTATGAAGAACAAACATGCCGATATTAACCCTAAGAACCATTTTCCTCTATCAGTAAGTCATGGAAGAAGTTCCTCCTGAGCCCTTCTACCAGGGACAGGAGGATGAGGTGAGGGGAAATGGAAAGGTGGGATGAGGCATACAAGTGAGAGAGAGAGAGGGGGGGGGGGGGGGGGTGCTTGGCTAGCCTTTAAAACTGTACTTCGTTCCACGCCCTCCGAGCTGGATACCTCACAGTCTGAGGAGGGCAGACAGTGTTGCCTAGTGGATAGAGCAACAGAATTTGACTATCCCTGGCTCTACCACTGGCCAGCTGGGTGACCTTGTGCAAGTCACTTAACTTCTGTGCCTGAGTTTCTCCACCTGTAAGATGGCAGATCTGATCCTTCCTCCTTTGTAAAGAGCTGAGATCAATGGATGAAAAGTGCTCTTTAAAGACTTACTGGCAATACACTGGGTAATGTGTCAATACACGTTCTAAGCAGTATGAGGGTAACAAAACAAGGCTGAAAATTCAGAGGAAATGTGGGTCCCTATCAGTAAAGTGCAGATCTCCACCACAGCCCAAAGTCAGCATGTTATAAGAACTTACAGAACAGGTTTTTCAGTTTCTTCCCCAGAGTCCTAAGTTAACTGCCCCACAGAGATGGAGGCCTAAGTCCGACTCTGGGGCTCTCATCCTGGAGTCTGCAAACAAGTTCTGGGGGTTCCAGCCAGTCCCACCCTCTTCTTTTAGGCAAACGGGAGTGGGACCCAAAACCTTTTTTGGTTACAACATGGAGTCTCGGGACGGACAAGGTGGAGAATTCGTGTTTTGGTGCAGTGAAGACCTTGTTCTACCAAGTTAATACTCTGTCTTATCCTACTAGTTTGGAAGCCTGAGATAAGGAGCGTGTGAAGAATTTTGCAAGCTAAATAAGGATTTCTTAAGAAATCACCACTCTGGCTGACTGCATTACCTGGATTGATTACAGGGAAGATGATGTCCCCATTTCTCTGTTTAGTTACCAGTCGTTCCAGTTTTTGCTCTTCGTAGCGTTTTTTTCCTTCCTCTTCCAGCTCTTTCCATGCATACTGAAGGGAAAGAACACACAGGTCACACAGTTACACCACAGAGGAAAGACCAAAGATGTGTGACTGGGGATCCACAGATGAACAGGTACTGACCTCAGTACTCAGCCAGATGCTGAGAGATTCCATGGCTGCCCTAGTTGTCACATAAAACCAGATCTGTCCAATTACTATTAGTGCAGGGCCAAAGACGCACAGCGCCATGCTGGTTTGTGAGGGGGGAAAATGGGTGTGTGCACAGCCACTCGCTTCCTCCTCTATGCCAGAATCTCTAGTGTTCATCAGTCACTCGCTGCCAGGCGTTCCTGCCCTTGGAGGTGTCACAGGTTGAAAGATTCAGCCACCTTCAACGCAGCCAGTCAGTTTAGTTAGCCCCTAACCGAGGCCATGCACATCTTGTTCACAGAATTCATTCGCTCCTGGGTACACATATACCTTGCTGGTTTTCAGACTGATCGACTTCCTTGCTTCATTTAGGGGACAAAAACTTTGCTACTTTCTCTAAAGAGGACCAAGGCAAGTAAAAAGGAAGCTACACCTGGTGTGCCTGCAGACAGACCACAACAGTTCATTTCTATAAGTTATGTTTTCCTAGGGTCTACAAAGCAATGCAGCTGTTTCATTATGGTAACACACCGTCTTTGACTGAATCACTGACCTCTCCAAAGTACTGGAATAACCTGAGCACACCTTGTACATGTTCTAATTAGAGCTGTCGATTAATCAGTTAAATCAAGTGATTAACTCAAAAATGAATCGCAATGTTAAACAATGGAATAGCAATTGAAATGTATTAAATATTTTGCAAGTTTTTGTATATTTTAAAATATATTTCAATTACAACATAGAATACAAAGTGTACAGTGCTCAACTTTATATTACATATATTTGCACTGTAAAAAGAAACAGTATTTTTCAATTCACCTCATACAAGTACCGCAGTGCAATCTCTATCATGAAAGTGCACCTTACAAATGTAGATTTTTTGTTACTTAACTGCATTCAAAAACAAAACAATGTCAAACTTTAGAGCCTACAAATCCACTCAGTCCTACTGCTTGTTCAGCCAATCGCTAAGATGAACAAGTTTGTTTACATTTACAGGAGATAATGGTCACCTGAGAGTGAGAACGGGCACATGGCACTTTTGTAGCTGGCATTGCAAGGTATTTACATGACAGATATGCTAAACATTTGTATGCCCCTTCATGCTTTGGCCACAATTCCGGAGGGCATACTTCCATACTGATGATGCTTGTTAAAAAAAAAGAATGCGTTAATTAAATTTGTGACAACTCCTTGGGGGAGAACTGTATGTCTCCTGCTCTGTGTTTTACCTGCCTTCTGCCATATATTTCATGTTATAGCAGTCTTGGGTGATGACCCAGAATGTTGTTCCTTTTAAGAAAACTTTCACTGCAGATTTGACAAAATGCAAAGAAGGTACCAATCTGAGATTTCTAAAAAGGTAGCTACAGCACTCAACCCAAGGTTTAAGAATCTGAAGTGCCTTCCAAAAATCTGAGAGATGAGGTGTGGAGCATGCTTTCAGAAGTCTTAAAAGACCAACACACTGATGCAGAAACTACAGAATCCAAACCACCAGAAAAGAAAATCAACCTTCTGCTGGTGGCATCTGACTCAGATGATGAAAATGAACATGCATCGGACTGCACCGCTTCGGATCATTATCGAGCAGAACCAGTCATCAGCATGGACGCATGTCTTCTGGAATGGTGGTTGAAGCATGAAGGGACATACAAATCTTTAGCACATCTGGCATGTAAATATCTCGCAACACCGGCTACAACACTGCCATGTGAATGCCTGTTCTCACTTTCAGGTGACATTGTAAAGAAGAAGCAGGCAGCATTGTCTCCTGCAAACATAAACAACTTGTTTGTCTGAGTGATAGGACTGAGTAGACTTGTAAGCTCTAAAGTTTGACCTTGCATTCAAAAATAAAACCTTTTTTTGTGCATAATTCTACATATGTAAGTTCAACTTTCATGATAAAGAGATTGCACCATAGTACTTGTATTAGATGAATTGAAAAATACTCTTATTTTTACAGTGCAAATATAATATAAAGTGAGCCCTGTACACTTCATATTGAAACTGAAATCAACATATTTGAAAATGTGGAAAACATCCAAGAGTGTTTAAATAAATGGTATTCTATTACTGATTAATCGTAATTAATTTTCTTAATCGCGTGACAGCCCTAGTTTAACAAATTTTCAGCAGCACATAGCTACAAACAGTGAGACAAGTGTACCTTTCAGGAATCATTCATTGTTATAATGATGAAATTCTTAAGTATTTTGCTGCTGACATTTCATTTCAAAGTTGAAAGAGAATAAGTCTTAATTATAGACCTGTCAAGTACAGTTACTTCCAACTCTTTCTAAAGCGTTTACAGTACAGAACAAATAGTTATCCATTTCAAACAGCAAAATGTCTCTGTAAAATCCCTCAAGCTACATTCAAGCATTTTCCTCATTGCATCTCCCCCACCTCCCCCCCACAACTAGAGCTAGAAAACCAGCTTCTGACTGGACAGAATTAGAAGCACTATCAAAAGGCATTAAATGGAAGAGGCACCAGTACACAGACCCTGTTTGTGCCTCTCACACAATGCAATCTTAAAAGCACTGATAATGGGCTCCGACCTCTACAAGAGGTAAACAAACACTCCTTGCCTCAAAGAGCGTACAGCCTAAGGAGACAGGTGTACAGCATCCGGGACACAGGATGCGCAACTCCCATTACAAGTAATTCCTAAATCCCAATTGCAATGAGAAACTTGTTCTGAAGGCTTTACCCAACACGCACGGGCAAGTCAGAACAATCTGCAGCGGCCACTAGTTTAAAAGAGCGGAATGCTCTGGTGGAGTTTTGACGGAAAGCACCTGCAGTGTAGGACAGAGCTTTCAGCCAGAACTTTAGGGGCGATTTCCTCGAATGACACTATTTCCAAACACCTTCTCGTTACTGCAGCAAAGCAGCGGCAGCCTGCTAAGCATTCTTTCATTGTCAATGCGAAACCCTGAAGTACAATCTCTCAGTCTGTCGTTTGGTCAGATCTCATTCACGGTTTGCACCAAGACACTGAGGTGCTTCTGAAATCTATATTCCGCAGGAGAGCATCCTGGAGATGGGCTTAAACTCTGGCTACTTCCTGGAACAACTGCACATAAAACACAACAGTTGTCCTTTCTGGGTGAAGCAAGGATGCTTCACTGTCAGCTTGCTAAAGCCCCAATCCCCCCACAGGGGACACAGCGCTCCATAAAGTGGAGAATTAATATTGAAAGGGACAGTTGCTCCAAGCTAATTATACATTGTTGATCAGAGACTTAAATGGGAACATGAAAGCTGCCCTCTTTCAGGTGCTGTTCCTTTGCTTGGAAAGCTTTGGCTCCAGATGGCAGGGCTGGAGTCATACAAAATTTCTTTTATGTAGCTCCAGACGTCAAGGAAAGAAACAGGCAAATTGTTTTAGTACAAGGAAGCTGGCATGTGGGTTACTCATTCTCCTGGGGTCCTCTCCCCTCAGAGGAGGGGTAGCACATGTCACTTCTGAGAGTGCTACAGATGAAGCCTCATTCACACTGCTGGCTATTCCTTCCAAGTCCATTCCCCCAGCTGCCTCCTAGCACACTCTCAGAGGACTGTCCTGGCGAAAACAAGGTTGTTGGAAGGACTTGTCCCTGAATATTTTTTCATCCCCTAAAAGCAGACATCGGAGATTCTCTCAGGCTTTGCCTGCACTCTACGATCCCCAAGCAGAGTAGCTGTATCTGTGCCAATCACTAAGCCTAGACAAGGGCAAGCCAGGTTTTGCAGAGAGAGAGGAAGTAGCTGCTGCCATTGTTGTCTAAAGACATTAAGAACATAGCGGCCATATTGGGTCAAACCAAAGATCCATCTAGCCCAGTATCCTGACCTTCCGATAGTGGCCAATGCCAGGTGCCCCAGAGGGAATGAACAGAACAGGGAATCATCAAGTGATCCATCCCCTATCACCCATTCCCAGCTTCTGGCAAACAGAGGCTAGGGACACCATCCCTGCCCAGCTTGGCTAATAGCCACTGATGGACCGATCCTCCATTAACTTATCTAGTTCTTTTTTTCTCTGCAGTATGCTCATTCTGCTGCGTGCGCCAGTGTGTCTTGTTTTCAGAAATATAAGAGGTAAATGCTGAGTCAAATCCTGCTTGGCCACACCCACTGGAATTGTAGAAAAACTCCACTGGAGTTAGTGAACAACTGGAATTAATTGGATTTACGTCACTGTAACTGACCAGAATTTGGCCTACTTTAGAGTTATCTGGGGGGGGGGGGGGAGGAAAAAAAAAACCCACCACTCACTCAGAGCCTACCACTGATCTGACTAAATCGTCCTTAGCAGCTCCCAGCTGAAAAAAAAAAAAATTACTCCTTTGCCATCCCCTGCCCCACCTGCTCTGGTCTATGTGGAGACAAATGGGCAAACCTGAGCGACTGTTTACTGTTTTGAACACAGTGTATCTGGCTGTGTACAGATAAAGGAATGCACAGTCCCTGTGCTGGGGGTGAACATCAGCTGTTTAAGCTAGACTATTTAAATTAATATTCTTCACTCAGGACATTGTGGGGTGGTTCAGCATTTAAAAGCTGTAAGTGGCTTTTGCAAGGGAATTCTATGCCTATGTAAGAAGAGGGAAAGAGCATTTCAACTTTATATAATGAATAGCTGTGTTAGCTTGGTAATACTATCCCAAAATGTAGTTTCTATTTCACTTGAAAGCCTGGAGGATACTAAGCAGTGACATCAGTTAGCTATGTAGCCCTGACACTGGAGTGATGGCTTGCTTGATCATACACTCAGTATATTGGAATGACAAAACTCCCCCCATTAAGACTTTCTGCACATGACCCCATTTGCCCAGCTACTGAACTTCACTAGCAGTCTAGTCAATCATTCTTTGTGACAAAGAAATAAGATCAGTAGCTATCGC